TATTTTTTAACTTTATTATTGATTTTATTAATTTATTTGCCTTTTTATTTACTTTGATAGTTATTTTCATGCTTCCGTTTTGAATACAAATAAATTCAATTTAAATTTACTTAAATTATACTAAAATGACACACACTGCGCTGCGCATGCAAACCTGTTTTCGCCTTTATTTATAAAAATATCACTTTATTTTTAGAAATACAAGTTAATCCCACGAAATGATAAACACTCAAATACCATTTAACAACAACAAAAATAAGAAATAAAAACGCAACAATAAAATTCTCCTGAGCATCAAGACGACACTGCTAATCAGCTAAGCGCTTAACATTTCGTAAAACCATTTGGCGATTCTCGTATGCTGCAAAGCTAAGTGGCAGATGATAATGCCTCAAGTGGCAAGTGCACCCTGCTAAGCAGCAGCGAGTGGGCCGCAAGCACGCGCACGCGCAAAACCATTCCAACCAAAAGCGCATTTTTGCAGCTGTTGACAATTGTGTGTCGCTGCCACTGTGGCAGGAGTGTCACACCTAACAAACACGCACAAATGCTGCTCATATAGTGTTGTTGTGCTGTTTCGTTTGTTGGCGAGCTAAAAATAAATGCTTTTATCGCTGTGGCTTTGATTCGCCTGCGAAGATGGCACTTGAATGACAGCGATAACAGAGAACCTTTCAGCATGCGTGCGCATACAATAACAACAACAGCGCAGGTAACAGCTAATCACCTGATATTAAAGAAGGCGTAAACAGCAAGCATAAAAAACTTGTGACTTTCAAATTAGCATTTCAATTGCGCACCCAATTTACAGTTAATGCCAACACTTTGACGATTGGCCTGGAATATTCAATTGAGTTGAACTTTTTCTTGTTATTTTTGCTTGCTTCGATCGTGTTTGGTAATCTCTTTGTGTAACTTTTTTATTAAGGCGGTTCAATGAACGTTTCGGCTTGAGTGCTCTCTCTCCGATTACCGCATTTTCGCGTGTTGCTCGATTGACTTTGGTTATTATTTTATTAATTTAGCTTGCCGGTGAGCGGGATGTGTGCTTGGAAACAATACACATTAGACATTAGCTTACAAGCATTAACTAGCTGCTATTTGCAGTTATTCATTCGTGTAGTTCATAATGTTTATTTTATTAACTATTAGATCATTGCGGAGTGTTAGTAACATTTTTTATTTGAAGGTGTTTTGTGAGCAATGCTCTGTTAAATTTGGTTAGTTGAATGGCAATAACACAAACAAGAGTATAGCTGTAGTCTGGTCTAAGAGCTGCTAGAAAAGCTAAATGTTCAGAAACTAACAGTGAAATGTATATATACATACATATCCTGAAACCAAGAAGAAAATATCTCCTCTGTCGAATATTCAGTAGAGGTAAATATATCGAAATTCATAAAAACAAAAAAATTTAGAAAATAGATAAGTATTTTATAAATTTTTATAATTTTTTTTTCTGAAATTCTTTTCTAAAAAATATTTTTGAAAAAAAATAAAACTTCTTTTAAAATTAATTTCTATTATATTATTTCAAAAAAGATCTAAAATATAGGTTTTTCGAATAAAATAATTGTACTTAACAAAACAGGTTTAAAACATATGAGAGAATTTTTTTTTGAATAATAAAAAAATGCGAAATTTATGAAAAAATTAATTAATTTTAAAACGAACCATAAGAAGTCGAAAAAWAGCGAAATTTATATATTAAAAAAATTAACAATGTATTAAAATACTTTTGGTATATATTTTTGATAAAAATTTCATTAAAAAAGCATTCTACAAATATTTTCGATAAAAATTTCAAAAAGGTATTAAAAAAGCATACTACAAATGTTTAAATTTATAGACTGCAATTTTTGTGTGTTTATTTGCTTCAGTATACTGGAACAGTAATTGATTGTATGATTCATAAGAGTAAAATATGAATGTTCTCTCAGTTTACGAGATATCGCACTGAAATTTCGCACACGTGCTTTTCTCTTCAAGAAACTACTCTTTTGGTAAAATCACCGATATTGAACCACTGTACGGATATCACAAATCTGTCATACCAACTAACCGATCTAGAGAAAGTCCTTGTATGAAAAACTGTTTTAATTGAAAATATATCTTCATGAATTTCGGCATGGATTATTCTCCAAGTCAGTGCTGCTATGTCTGAAAAAATTATCTAGATCGGGTAACAGTAGCCTATAGCTGCCCAACAAACTGACCGATTAAAGTGAAGTCCTTGTAAGGAAAACTTCCTTAATGGTGATAATATCTGCACGAAATTTGGCATGGATTATTGTCGGAAACAATGCTATAATATCTGCACAAATGGTTCAGATCGAACCACTATAGCATATAGTTGCCATATAAACTGACTTGCCAAAATCACGGCACATATCTTTTTGCACCCATTTGTGGAATAAAATATGCAGCTGTGAATAGTATAATAGCTTCATTACAAGCAAAGTTAACGTTTTTCCTAGTTTTTATTCGAATTTCTTAAAAAAAACCACATAACTAGTTTTTTATAACTTTTTAGTTAACTAAAAAAGCGCTGATCTGACCAACGGCAATAAGTATGTACCCTGAAAAATAACATACTACAATTGAACAGCAGCACTATAATATTATAATTTTTTGTTTTTCGTTAATTTTTTTATACATACTTTTTTTTAATTCATTTTACTAACATAGTTCACTTTTACGTCGCACAACTGTACTTTTATGCATATTTGATTTTACACTTAAACACATTGCGAGTATCATTTCGCGAGTTGATATGACTTAGCCGCTGCAAGTAACGGATCACCATGCCATAAACAACATTTCGCATATATGTTTATTAAGTACACTCTCATAAGCACCCAAGTACGCTGCTGCAGTGGCCTGCTCTCGCCAGAATCTTGGGTGTATTCATTCATAACGTCTTCATTTTTTCACTGTCATTATCAAGTCGCAAGTCAGCCAGCCACTACAGTCAGCCAAGTTGGCGTTACTCATCCTAACTGCCACATATGGCATGATTGCAGCATATGCTCGCATACACATTGTGGCAACACGGTGGAGTGGCAACAATTTATGCTGCGGCGCGAAAAAAAGTTCGCGCTTAATCCACACATGAATTAAAGTGGCGGAAAAAATGCAAAGAACAAAAAAAAAAATAAATAAAAAATAAAATGTTAATAAAAAATGCATGCAACTTGGTGTTGCATGTGAGCAACCAAAACAGTAGATGGCGAAAAAAGCGAGATAATATCAAGACAAAGTAAATGATTGCCACTAAAAGGTGGCCTACACAATGCACTGCAACAAGCTCTGGGTACTGCAGCAAACACACGTACGCACATGTGCGTGTGTATGTGTGTGTGCGTTTGTATGTCTGCGCAAAATTATGTCTGAGAATGAACTGGGAACAAAAAGAGTGACATTAATGCATTGGAAAAATTACGCTTATAAAAGCGGCAGACAACATTTCAGCCCGCCATAGCAAGCCGCTTGCAGTTGCACGCTTTTGCACTTGGCTGCAGCAAATTTGTGTTTGTGTTGCAACGCAGACCAACTAACCGTTCGACAGTTCGCTGGGTGCCCTCAGACGACGTCGCATGT